GGGGAGAAACTCCATACTAACGAGTTACACTAACTTGCCCCAATCACGGTCCCTTTCTCAGCCTCAGTTGATTCATCTATAAAATGGGTGAGGTGGAGTTAGGTTGATAATTTTCCAAAGTGTGCTCAAAAGAACAATAGCCTTCATCTTCTTCCCCTTACTCTTGAGGATTCACAGTTTACTCCAGCTTACTCAAGGTCCCTGACAAGTCCTGTGCAGCAAGGCAACTGCCGTCTTAGCCTAACCCACTCCTTAAGCTTCCTGGACCACACAGCCTTTTAAGTAACATCAATTAACATCCCTTGGGCCAGTGTTCTGTGGAACGTGCCTTGGCTAATTTTCAAGTCTTTTCTGGTACTAAAGGTCTTAGCCCCTCTGAGTCAGTGCTGGGGGCCAAGAGGCCTGGCTGGCTGTGGGCTCCCTGACATCAGTAAGGCCCCTGCCCTCTGCTTCCCCAGCCATCACAGAACACCTGTTCTCATGGTGAACTGTGGGGAGTTCTTAGCTTCTCAAGAGCTCTCTCTTCTTTCTGATTTTTGCACCTTTCTTGACCCCATTCCGTGTGGCCTGGGTGGAGCTGGTCTCACTACCTGGCTCCAGGAGCATACGTATGACCAAGGCCTGCCCATTGAGGTAACACATCCTCCTGGCCGCCATGATTAGTTCATTGTGGACATGGGACTCCAGTGGGACCAAGCAGAGAGCACTCTGGTACTTTTGCTGGAAAGATTAGGAAATAAATGGTGTCTTCTTCCTGGTGTGGTTGCAAAGCAGGGGTCATCTCTTCCTTCATTTTGGGAAAGCCTGCCAGAGAGATCTCTAGGGGGAGGCAGAGCTGATGATGGTGAAAGTTTTCTGACAACATCACTGAGGGGCTGGATCCAGCCATTCCTGAAGCCATGGCATGCCATCAATCCTTTTCCATTAAACTATTTTGAGTTTGATTATAGCTTGTAACTGAAAAAGCCCCGCCCCACCAATTTTACAAGAGGTGTGGTGGGAATCCAATATTAGAGAAAAGGAGGAAGGAGCTGTGGAGCTTGGTGAAGCAAAGTGTGGGAAGCATTTGGAATATGGAGTGGGATGGTTCTTGTGGGCACAAGCCTGGAGACCAGGGGAGAAGGAACTGATCACATGGACCCTGGTGGTAATGGGCAATGCTTAACCCAGGGGAATGATGCACCAGTGGTTGTGTCTGGGGCCAAACCTAAACATAAGCAAGCCCTGACAGGATGCACTCTAATACAGCCTTGCCGGTGGTTCTGATGGTCATGGACCCAAGGCTTGGCATCTCCTGGGAGCTTGTTCGGAATGCAGAATCTCAGGCCACACTGCAGACTTACTATATCATCATCTCCATTTTAACAAGGGGTCAAATGGTGCATGTGCACAATCCAGTTTGAGAAGCACCACTATTGGGTTATCGGTAGTGACTGTGGTAGTGAGCAAAGATGGCTGCCACTAGTTCCTTCCTTCCTGTATGCCCTGCCCACTGGAAGGTGGGCATTCCCCCTCCCCAACCCCCTTTATCTGGGCTTGCCCGGGACTTGCCTGGACCAACAGAATGTGGTGAAGTGGTGGGGCCAGGACTGTGCTTGGCCCTCAAGAAGCCTGGCAGCTCTGCATCCTCCCTCAGAAGCCAGCTGTCATCAAGTCTGACTAACCGCATGGAGATGCCATCTGGAAGCCATGTGAGTTCCAGAAGGGTGTGGGAGCGACCCTCGCTGATGCCATGTGGAGCTGAGCCCTACCCAAATTTCTGACCCAAGGCATTGGGAGAAATCATTGATCATTGCTGTCTTAAACCACTAAGTTTTGGGTTCCGCAGCAAAAGCCTACTGAGGCAGTGACTGTCTTGCCTCCTGCAGGGTGTTCACTCGCTCTAGACACTGTGCTGAGCACTTTCCACCTGCCAGGTGCTATTCCAGGCACTGTTCCAGGTCTGGGGGGTAGTGATCACGAGAGCTAGCACCCCTGCTCTTGCAGGACTGAAGTTCCTGTCCAGGAAGATGGCAGTAGCCAGGAAAATAGCCAAACACAATGCCATGGTGGAATGTGTGTGCCCCCCCACCCCCAGCATTCGTCTGTTGAAATCCTAACCCCTAGAGTGATGTAAGAGGAGGCGGGGCCTTTGGAGGTGATTAGGTCATTAGGTGATTAGGGTGGAACACTCATGAATGGGATTAGCGCCCTTATAAAAGGAACCCCAGAAAACTGTCCACCACGTGAGGCGACAATAAGAAAAGGTCTGTCCACGACTGGGAAGCAGTTGCTCGCCAGAACCTGTCTGTGCTGGCCCCTAATCTCAGACTTCCCGCCTCCAGAACTGTGAGTTACGCTTGTTGTTTATAAGCCACCAGTCGATGGTGCTCTGTTATAGCAGTCTGAACTAAGACACACGATAATTTCGGAGAAATCAGGAGCAGTTGGGAGTGGCGCTGGGGACGATATCAGACAAGGTCAGGAAGGGTGCTCTGAGGAAACACTCTTGATCTGAGGCGGTGATGGTGGACAGGGGCAAACTGTAAAATGACCAGAGGGCAGGGCGATGCTGCCAAAGCCCCAAGGGAACAACTTGGCTTGTTAGAGGCATAGGCTGAAGGTCTGGCTGGTGAATTCAGTGGGAGGGGGCCGCCATGTGGGGGGGCTGGAGAGAGGGGAACAAGGTCAAGAGATGAAGTCACAAAAGTTGGCAGGGCTACAGCCACCCGGACCACTAGCCACACAAGGCTGTTTTAAGCCAAACTTACGTTAAAATTAAAATTGATCATTCAGTTCCTCAGTCCCACTAGCCACGTTTCCAGAATCCAACAGCCACACATGACTCCTGGCTACCATATGGGACCGCACAGATGCGAATATCTCCCTCAGTGGGGAAAACACTATCGGCTGGTGCTAGCTATAGAACAAACCACGAGTAAACTAGGCTTCAAGGTCAGACCATGTGCTTTTGAGCTTGGCACTTCATTAAGTCCCTTGAGGTTCTGCTTTTCCCCAGGATTAAATGAGGTTCTCGCAGCCCAACAGTGGGTCTGAATTATCCACAGCAAGGTGCCAAATCCCCGAATGGTTGAACTGGGGTCTTACCAGGAGAGCATGTTCACGGCTTCATCCATGGTAACTGGCAGCAAAAAGGCCTGTTTAACTGACTTCTTTGCAACCTCATTTAAGCTGCCAATTTGGGGCTCCCTGATGTGAAAAAAGAACAGAGCGTGGCTACTATTTCAGGGCAATGCGCAGAAGGGAAATTGCTACAATTAGCCAAAGCTGATTTTGATTAGCATATTTTCTTCCTTGGCGCATAACATCTGTTGGTGTGGAAACAGTCACTCCAACTTGTCCTGTTACGGCGAGAGGCACAGGCGGTGAAGGAGGCAGTCCCACGGGGAGCCCAACGGCAGCCAGGACGAAGCCGAAGAGGAGGTAAAATAGCCCCTGAGCAGCTGGGCAAGTCACAAGCAGTTTGTCCTTGGGGAGGATAAATAAGGAAGTGCTTCCCTGCACAGGCTGGGAGGCGACAGGTGGAGGTGCCTGCTCTCCTTGGAGTTGGCGAGAGCTGCATTGTCATTATCGTTCGTGGCGGCTCCCCAAGTCCCCTATCCCTTGGGGCAGTTACCCAACCATCGTCGTCTGAGAAATGCGGATGATGACACCACCTGATGGGTGAGGGCAGATTACGTGAAATCATCTTGGTGAACACACTTGGCATACAGTCGGTGCTCAGTAAGTGTTGGCTGAATCATAATCTTCGCAGGAAAGAGTTTCGGGAGAGGGAGAGAGATGGGCTAAGTAAGGGATGTCTGATCAGCATTCAGACTGGTTCCAGTCCTGGCACTGTCATCCCTTCATTCATTCATTCAACACGTATTCATGCTGGGAATTGGCTCTGTGGCCTTGGATCACCCCCCAGAACCAGCCTGGCTGCCTGCTTCCTACCTGCGGGTTGGGGGAGCTGGTCTCTATGGTTCCTTGCAAGTTTTCCCTGTTAAAAAAGTTTGCAGCCCCCCTGGAAGGCCTGACCCATTTGGGTTCAAACATGGAAGGTGAACAAGGTTTTGAGACCCAGATCCTGCAATCTGGGATTTGGAACAGCTTTTAAAGAGCTTTTGGTTCAGTTCCCGACAGATCACAAGGATCCTGTCCCAGCCCTGCTGACGGAAGGCACCCGGTTTGCCCGGATGTTTCCAAAGGTACTCTCGCTGCCTCCTAAAGGAGCCCATTCTATTTTCAGAGCACTCTAATCTGTGGGTATGCTCGTCCGCATACGGAGTGTATAGAAATTCTAGGCTAATGTCCCTCTTAAAACGTGGCACCCAACCCAGCACATAGTTCTTAGTTTCCAAATCTATAAAATGAGCATGAAAACACATACTTCACCTTCCTGGTGGCAGGAATTGAGAGCAATCACAGGGATAGTGGGTCTGAAACGTAGTAGATGCTTAGTGTTTGTTCCTTTCCTTTCCGAATGAGGGCTCAAAATCATGGGCTCTCAACAAACCACCCCTGCGTGTGAGCTGTTCTGCACCTGTGCACACCCGCTGGTTCCTACAGATGGCAAATGGTCCATGTGGGGAGCCAATGGGCAGACAGGGCAGTGGGGGAGGCAGGCTCTGCCTCCTGGTGCCCCCGGTGCCCATCCCCACTGTTGGCTGCTGAAGACCTTTGGGCCCGGGACCACCCTCAAGCCACGGCTGGTGACTCAGCTGGGAAAAAGCCAGCCTCCTGCCCTCACCACCCCTTACCCCCGCACCTTCTTCCCTGTTGCCCGCCCTTCCGGTGTTCTCACCCATCTACCCACTTCCCATAATGGTCTCAAATCTCTCTCTCTGTCCCAAGAGGGAAGGAAGAGACTTGATACACTGGGCACCACTGGGAGGTGGATTTAAAAACAGCCCAAGAGAGAAGGCAAAGTGTGCCGAGAGGAAGGCCGTCGTGCACGTGGTCCGAGGGGAGGCGGTCTCGGCCTCCCTCCAGCGGCCAGCGAGGATCCACCTACTCACGCTGCTGTGAGGGTATCACTGGACCAGTGGCTGCCTCTGTCCCCAGCATGGACTCAAGTGATTCTCTAGTGGCGACGCCATCTCAGAACCTGGCCTCCTTGCCCCAGAGCCTCTATCGAGCATCCAGATGACCTTTGTCCTGGGAGCTGAGGCAGGTGGCAGACTGGGCCCAGGAGGTGATTAGAATATCAGTTCCTGCAGATGGCAACCCGCACAACAAGGTCAGGAGAGGGGTGTCTGTGTCAGGTGAGCCCGCTTCTCTGGGAAGGGCTCAGGCTTGTCCTGGCACACTGCTGGACGCCCCAGTGGGTCTGCAGCTTTGAGTGTGGGACCCTGAGGCACTAGGCCAGCCAGCCAGCAGCTGTGTTTCTGTCCATGGTTCTCAGAGTGTCTGAATACTCACCAGGAGTGCCTGGCAGGTCAGCTTGTCTCGGTTGCCGTGGCCTTGTAAGTGCAGGCCGGCCCTAGGATGGTAAGTTTATATCCTAGGTGTAGGGGCAAGTCAGTTCTGAGATCCTGAATGGGGCCACATTGTGATGTCACACCACTGGGGTCCCCCACAAGGCCCGCCGTCACTGCTGGTGTCAGGGCGCAGGGAGCCCCTCCTGAAGAAATGATACAGCTGGGGCACTGAGACCCCAGTGCAGTGCGTCCCCTACCCCGCCTCGTTTGGGTCAACACAAGTGAAACAAGTACCTCTTTTAATTTTTCCCACACAAATTGACTTCAAGGCGGGGGGACCCCCAACCCTTAACTCTTCCTTTGCGCATTTTCTATGATTGATTTAAAAGTCCAGGGCAGACCCATGACTATTCCCCCACCGCCCAACTGGTGTGTTCAGAGGCAAACAGAAGAATTTAAATATTAGCTCAGAAAACAAACAGGAAAATGTAAATCTCCCCCACCCTCTCTCCTTGGTCAGACCCGACATGGATGCCTCTCAGGGTACCTTCTATAGTTTCCTATGCCTGCGCTGCTTCCCTCTGCAGGTGACTGATAATTAGGTACAATTCCTATTTAATAAGCCCCCCTCCCAAAGAAAAGGAAAACCCACAAAAGGGGCCAGTTGCTTCTCTGGTGCTTGAGGTTGGGAGCGGGAAGCATTCTAACCAAAGAGCAAATGGCCTTGCCTTGGAGACTAGCCTACATTTTAGAGTCTCAACAGTGGTTTTCAAGCTTTAGGGTTCATTTTGAATCAGCTGGAGGACCTGTTAAAATACAGATTCGCTCCCCAGAATTCCTGACTTCAGTAAGTCTGGGGTAGGACTCAAGAATCTGCATTTCTAACAAGTTTCCAGGTACTCCTGCCGCTGCTGGTCCAGGAAGTGCACTTTAAAAAGTATTGCTCAAAAATGTAATGGTGTTTGTCTTCTGGGTTTGATCCTAAAATAACATGGCCCGCTGATGGCAGTAGTCAGGGGTGGCTGGAGAACAAAAAGAAGATATAGCTTTGGGGCCAAAGCTAGCTGAGCCCTCTGGGTTCAGCCAACCCACTTTATTGAGAATCTGTTCATTGCCAGCACTGAGCCACGTCGGGGAGGCACAGCTCATGTCTGTGCCCTGCCCACAGCTTCTTGGCTTTACCACTTCTGTGCAGGAAGGTGGTCTGACTTCCAGCCACCAGTACCTGTGTCTCTTTGTTTGGGGGTTCTCCCCGGCTGCTGGAGCCCCCCGTGCCTGCAGGGAGTGCATCTGGGAGCCCAGGGATTAAAGTCTCCCCAGGAACCTCCTCCACAATGAGTGATAGGGGTTGGTGGATAAATACCCCAGCTCCCTCCTGCTCGGGTAGAGCAGCTTGGAGGCGTGCTCTGTGCCATCTTCCAGAAGTCTCCACAGGACCGAGCCTCAGTTGCCCACAGTGGTAACTGGCTTGATAACACACCCTATCTTGCTGCCCTCCCTCTCCTGGCCCACTGCCCGACCCCTCTGTCAGAGTTTCCTGGGATTGCCTCTAAATAAACAACTTGTCCTTGAATCCTCTTCTCAAGATCTGTTTTGGGGGGGAACCCAGACTAAGACATCATGAATAAGGAATGGTTTTTGTCCTTGGTCAGTTCACATTTAGCGGGGGAAAGACACATACCGTGGCTTTAGTACAATCAGGAATTTCTGGGAATTGCTGGTAAATGTCTGCTGGTTGCCATTTGGAGGGTCATCAACGGTGCCTTGAGGAAATGTAGGCACTCAGATGACACTCTCAGGGGGAGGCCAGGGGGAAGACAGGGCCTGGCAACCTGGCCCAAAGGCTTTTTCTTCCACATAGGCAGGACTGAATGGGGTACCCACAGGGGACTGATTTGCTATGCAAATTCCTCTTGCTTCTATCTCCCTGGACAATTCTTCCTGAAACAGGAATATGGAGGTAGACCTGGAACCATATAAAATATGGCTCTTGCTAGGTTTGAGGGGCTGTTGGATCCTTGGAAAGAGTTGATGAAGGTCCCTGCTGTCCTAATAGGATTAATGTGCTTCCCTAGGTGCCCATGCCCATGCCATGCCTATGCCTAGCCTCACACCTATACTATAGCAAGGTTGATCCAACTCCTCCCTTGCCTTTGAAGTGGTGTGGTCCCCCAACTCCTTCCACATACCCCTCCCCATCATCAGCGTCAGTCCTCCCAGAGACCCCCTACATACAAACATACAATCCAAATGAAAACACTCCACATGGCATCAAAACACTCTTCAAATCATGTTCCTGGCCCCTTCAGTCGGACACTTTGTGTACAGAAATCAGGGAACTGCCAGTGAATGGCCCCAAGTCGCTACTTAGTTGGGCACCTTCACAGATCATTCTCAGGGGACCAGGTACCCCACCTCTTCTTTCCTGCATTTCAACTCGGCAAGAGGGGGAACGAAGCCTGTTGTACTGGAGCATTGTGTCGATGATAGCATCAACCTTTTCTGCATTGCTCAGGACTCAAAAAATCATGGCTACCAAATAGCCATTAGCCCTGCCTCCAGACAAAAAGATCACATACAGGAAGGGGCCCAATGACAAGACCTCAACACAGAGCTGAGAGATGAGAACGGGGGGCTGAGTTTGTGCCTTCAAAGACAGCAGCCTCAATGTCTGCCTCACATTTTACACTTTGAGAGTGTAAAATGCCTTTGGCCTGATCATCTTATTTTTGTGATTAAAGGAAATCGTTGAAAATATGGGGGAAACATAGACATTCATGTGTTCATTTCAGTGTTACTTTGAAATGTGGGAAATTGGAAATCATTTAAATGTCTAACAGAGGAATGATTGAATAAATTGTAGAGAATCCCCGTGTCAGAGGATTAGGAGCCATTAATATAATGGTCATGAAGACTTCGGGGAAACAGAGAAGAATGGTGATATTAAGTGTAAATTTAAAAAGCAGAGGCTACAAAGAATTACAACTATGGAAATGCTTGCCTGTGAAAAAAATGCTCCCCATCATTAGTGATGAGGGAAATGAAAAAGAACAGCTCTAGGAAGTGTTGGTGAGAATGTGGAGTAAGCTGAACTCCCATATGTTGTAAAATGGTACAACCACTTTGGAAAATGCTTGGTAGTTTTCTTTAAACACACAGATCTACTAAATGGCCTGGGAAATCGACTCCCAGGTATTTATGCAAGAGAAATGAAAACACCTCCACAGATGTACAAGATTGTTCATAGCTGCTTTATTCATGATGTCCCCAAATGAGAAATAACCCAAATGTTCTTTAATGGGCAAATGAATAAACAAGTTCTTGTATATAGTTATAACGGAATATTAGTCAGCAAAGAAAAGGAACAAACTCCTAACGTGATGAACCTCAGAGACACGCTGAACAGAGGCCAGAGACAAGAGTATACACCTGATTCGATGAAGTTCTGGAGTAGGCAAAACTAGTCTAAGGCTGCAGAAACAAGGTTAGTGATTGCCTGGAGGAGACCATGGGGTAGGGTAGGGGAGTGACTGATGGGGTAAGGGAAGTTGTGGTGTAAAGGAATGTTCTAGATCTTTAGCATAGTGGCAGTTACTCAGGTGCTTGTATTTGCCAAAACTCGTCAACCTGCACGGTTAAAATGTGTGAATTTTAAAACATGTAAATTATACTTCAACAAAGGTAAGAATATGTGTGTGGGTGTGTGTGTGTATTTATGGTAGGTGTATATATGACATGTATGACATATCCATACATTCACATACATGTCATAAACACACACACACACCCATACATTGCTTGCCTAAGAGGAAAAACCAGAGGCAATACACTAAAATGTGAAAAGCAGTTGTGTTTCATTAATGAGATTATAGATGATTTCTTTTCCTCTTAGATTTGCCAAAATTTTACCTGTATGGTTCTGTCTTTTATATGATAGGATAATAAACGTTCTTTTTTTTTTAGTCACAAATTGCTGGAGGCGAGCTCTTATGGTGGTCTACAACACACTAGGTTTTATTGCATGTGTGTGTGTATGATGACTCCTATGGATTTCTCTTTCTGTATGTCCACCAATCTAAATCTTCAAGCCAATTTCAAATCTTGTATCCCCTACTAAATTATTCATAATATTCTTGCCAGAAACAAAAACTGTCTTATATCATCCACTATCTCTTCATATATTGTTTCTCTTTAACCGCATCATGTGCTTACCAAGGGCTAGAATAATATCTTTATTCTTTGTATTCCCAACGGTCCCTAGCACAGAAAAAGCACAGAAATTTGGAGAAAATAGACCTGAGCTAGCATAGGGTCACTATGCACAGTGGCACAGGCTGTGCACTGCACAAACTCCAAGCAATGATATGAATGACTCCCCCTGCTGCATGGATAGTGCCCTCTGGAGTTGTGCAAACAGAGTTCTTGGTCAGAGTCCCTGTCTGCCACTTCCTAGTTTTGTGACCCTGAGGAAGTTAAATAGGAATGTTGGGATGATAGAATCGAGATAATGTATGTTCAAAGCCTTGTGCAAACTATAACACACCCTACAATGTTACATGTGATGATTCTCATAATAAATCTGGTCCCTGCCTTTATACCATGCTCATTACCATGACTTTCTCATCAGCTTTTCCTCAGTTCCCTGAAATTGTCAAACACGTTCCTGTCTCAGGGCCTTTGCACATGCTATTCTCACTCCCTGGAAGACTTTTGCATTCACATCTTCTGGCAGCTGGTTCCTTTGGGTGATTCAGATTTCGGCTGCAATGTCACTTGAGGCTTTACCTAAGCATTCTAAAATAGCCTCCTCCCCACTATCATTTTCTCTCTCGCCACCCTGTGTTCTTAATGTCTGAAATTATTTCATCTGTTTGTTTAATTCTGATGGTCTACCTCCCATCCCAAACCTTCATGTGTAGAAGGTCTATGTCTGTTTTATTCATGCTGTATTTCCAGCCCCTGGAGGACAGTAGGTGCTCAAAAATCATTTATTGAATGAATGAACAAATATTTATTGGTAAGTAGGCAACATGCTGTATTTATTCAGTTCAGTCTGCCAACTGTTTTCCGAAAACAAGGGACTGTGAGGCAAACACGGCTTGT